ACTGTAGCAGGTAAAAAGTGTTGTTAGGTCAAAAAACAAAATCTAGCTAGGACCATCTTTGGGCAGTTGGTAGTTATTCAGCTGATTAAGGTATTTCCAATTATCATGTAACCATCACCAAAAATTTCCATCAAAGGATACTGTCCTGCACCATTTCACATCTTCTCAATCACTTTAATATCATCCTCACATTCATGGTTAGGAGTATCTCAAATGGATGGTAGATACTAATTGTTGTACCAAGCTTCATGTCCAACTGATCTCTTAATTCTTGACTCACTCGCACTGTTGACAGATATGAAAATATGTCATTGGTGCTTTATTAAATACTGCTAAATTAATTATGTTTCTGATCAAAGTTAAAACATTTACAACATGATCAATACATGTAAACAGAGGTCAGTATGAACTATAAACTACCACTTACACAAAGTAATTGTCTGTATAATATCAACCACTGCATGTGATTGTAACATTTGGTATCCTAGCAATCATACTTTGTGCCCCAGGCTTTGCAGAGGTGGTGGGAGTGCTACTGGGTCTCACACTCATCTTGTGGTGCAGTCAGAAGTGGGTTGCCCTTGGAGGCATCCTAATCGTGGGAGGCAGCATGTGCACAGTAAGCTGGATCCTGCCAACTGAAGGCAAGAACCAAAGATACTTTCTCAGTTTATGAGGGACAGAGAATCCTGCATACAAAGCTTAAAATAATAACATGGGAGTGATTGAATGCCCCATCCAGCTTGTCTATTAAATGTGTCTCACTGTCTAGGGCAGGAATTGGTAACCTGCAACCCACAGGCCACATGCTGCCATCAAAACCTGTGACATACCACATAATTGATAATAATTAATAATAATCTTACAAGAAATTAATATATTAAGTTGTGTGGGAAAACTACTTGAAAGATGCACATGGGAAAATAATATTAAAATGGACCAAGCTGTGGATGTGTGGGAAGGACTGAACTGGTTCAGTGTATTTATGTTTGCTACTTTCAGGAAACTGGAGCCATGAGTGGGCAATGCTTGGGTTGGCAATGGTGGATCGCATTGCAATAGCCAGCTCACTCACATTGCTCCAGGTGACATCTAGTGAGCTCTTGCCACTAGAACACCAGCAGCCTGGAATATTCTCATGTGTCATATTTGCACGAATCTGCCTACTTTCTGCACCATTTATTGGTTCACTGGTGAGCTTGTTTCAAAAGGGAAAAGAACTGCATAATGCATTTTTCTCTTAATATTGTAAAAGTTTCAAATTTGATAGAAAAACTTAGAAATCTTAGGCATAATATATTATAACAATATTAAAATGAGTCTTAAAGAAATATGTTGTGAAGATTTAAACTAGAAAAAAGGGAAGAATAACAGGCTTATGATTATGTTTCTGAATCCTGAGATTTCATATCAATAGTGAACTTCTTAACCAGTCAATAACTCTAGGCTGCTAAAGGAAAATTTTGTACCACTGGGTTTATAAGTTATTTATCTTAACTGTTAACAGTTTTATGTTTCTTTAGAATTTAACAGTCAGAGTTCCTGCATTTTGAACCAAAGTGCATCCATTTATTACAGCATATAAAAAAATTTCATAGTCTCTGTTAATCAACTGCAGGCAATGTATGGTGACTTTGTGTCACTAAGTGCTTTTGGAGGCCTCACTTTAATAGGAGGTCTGGCAGCACTGTTCCTTAGCTGGACAAGATCCACGGCACCTCATTCTGAGTGGCAGTGTGAGAATAACAGAAACATAGAGAACATCTGCAGCACTGAAACCTATGAAAAATGTAACAGGTAAGAGCCACATATATGGACTGGAAACGCCTGTCTGCTAATTATGTACTAATAATCAGCATCACCCATGGGTAGAGTAAAACAGTCGAAAAGCTATGCCACAAGTTTTACTACTAGAACATTTCCAACGGTCTTCAGCTTTTAGTATTTAAATGCCATTCTAACACCATGCATTGTCTCTTGCAAGGAATAAGCATAAGAAACAGGGCCTCACTGCCTGGCTTTTACCATTATATTAGCAAACTTGTGAAAATGCTTGTTCTCACCTGGGTTTTTCTTAAACTGTACTGAATTGTGCACCAAGGACAAACCTGTACATTAGCAACAACTGTCAGGGTATGAACACAGGTTCCAAAACATTATTTGAACAGAAATAGAACCAGCCTTTATTCACAGTTCCTGTATTTTCTTTTGTAACTGAACTTACAATTTGTTACAAACTTATTTAATGACTCTGACATTTTGACTTGACTTTTGTAGAAAACAAAAGTACCATACAAATTTTTGTCATCTCTTCACAGTCACAGAGTCATAAGAACAGACCTATTTCATTTTGTGGCACATGGGTTTTGAGTTTTGGCACAAATGAGGGATTACAAAGTTTCAATCTCTGTTACAATGCCCTACTCGTTCCTCATCACATTTAGGTAGTTTCATCTTAAAAGTAAGTTCACATGGACAAAACACTTTGTAAGAATCTTGACCTTTTGTCAGAAAACAATTCCACATTTTATGAATGTGCCAACACACAAAACAAGGGTTATTTGTCAGTAGAATTAAAGTATTGTCAATTTGTGCCTGCAAATGTCACATACTACTGGCCAGACACACCACCTGTTGCTAATGGTTAGAACAGTAGAAACTGAAGTACTGTTGCTTCTAATTCAGCTAATTAGAATACATCAATGCACTAACAAACAGTGGTGGTTCATAACTTACTTTCTGGAGGGACACTTTTACAACAAATATTTAAAATAAAACTTCCACATTCTAGTATGATAATGAATGACACCCATGTTACCAATGTGATTTTGTAAGTAATTTTAATGACACACAAATTGAAACATATTTGTACCAAAATTATCACAACATGAAGTGTAACAAAACACTCAGAAAGGGCATTGAATGTGTATTTACGTGACTGGATGAATATAATTTTCTCATTTTCTTTCTACTGTTTTGACATCTTCCTCTAAAGAAATATATGGCCCTAGTAAAAAGTCTCGTGTCTTATTTCTTGACATCCTCCTCTAAAGAAATATATGACCCTAGTAAAAAGTCTCGTGTCTTATTTCCTCTCCAGGGCTCCTTTCCTCACCTTGAAACTTGCTGCATCTTCAAACTTACCCCTGTGACCATGGGACTTCATCAGTGATGGAATATCATAATGAAAAGGTTGCAAGTGAAAGCACCTTATTATTTACATTTTGGAACAATGGAAATGTTGAATTAGAAATATGTTCTGTGAACCATGTCATCTATATATTATATTCACACATATGTATGACTGTATATGCTATCAACATACCTGAACTATGATACTGTTTCAATTAATATTTTAGATGGAACACTGCCCCAAGTGGCGTAACTGATGAGCCACCACTACCACTACAGAATTTTCCTGATGCAAATAAAAACCGTTACAAATTCAACCCAGTAAAAACAACTGCTCTTGAAGTAAAGTGTGCTATGGATGTCTGGTAAGCAAACTGACCAAATGGCATGAAAATTATTACATAACAACTTACACACTGCCAGATTCTTTATCTTATGAGTCTTCAATTTTAGAGAAGAAAATTTAAGATCACTAACATTTGGCACCTACAAGGTGAAACATAAACAAGTACTTAAAAACAACCTGATGAAACAGACCACTGATAGCATTCCTATATTTCATAAACAAAAGATGAAACAAAGCACAAAAGAAAGAAAGAGAGGTGAACAGTACAGACAATTAAGACTGGCAACAGCAACAGAGGACAGTTCAGAGTTTACAACAGCTGGGAGCCACTTTGTAACATATTAGCAGTGCTTCAATTTCCCAAAACAAACTACAGGCAGAGAATCTTAAATGCCAGTGCATTCATATCAGCCTTACTAAAACAAAAGTACAAAACTGTTAAGTGGTTTCAACTTTCACACTTACTCCAACATAAATAGGGCCTAATATTTCAGGGTTACATAAAATCACAAACATTCTTAAATGTCTGCACATCAAAACTATAGGCCTTAACAGTAATAATACTGATTCATCACAGTTTTACTGATATAGGTATAATTAGAATGAGAAACTGTCTTTTACAAAAGTGAGACTATTTAAAAATATCTTTAACATCACTCTTAATCATGGTATATCCTATGTGCATGAGAATAACTTAAATAGACAATTCAACTAAATAACAACACTGTGATGACATACACTTCTCAGAAAAATTAAAGCCGAAATCATTGCAATTTCTAGTATCACACAGTAAAGACAAATTTTAATTAACATTCATAACTGAAATATTTGTAAACATATATATATATATACACACATATGCACTTGTGCGTGTGTGTGCATGTGTACAGATTTTCTTTTGTAGTCAAATGTGCAGCAATTTTAAGTACCAACAAAGCACCATTCACTGCAATCCAATAATTAAATCTATTTTTTACGAACACATTCCCTGTTATTGCCACTGACAAACTTTGTTATAAATTATATCTGTATGAGAGCATGTGACAAATATATGGTTCACAATAAATTTGTCAATATGAGAAAATAAGCAGGAAACAGTCACATAACATGCACAATAAAATTAATCATAATTTCCTAAGCTTCTACAATAATTAAAAAATAAGCAGGAAACAGTCACATAACAGGCACAATAAAATTAATCAAAATTTCCTAAGCTTCTACAATAATTAAATAAATGCCAGCTTTCCAAACAAAACCATAAAAATATATATTACAGAGATACATTGCACTTCTAGGTTGATAAAACACATTACAAGACTCATATTCCAGAATCCTTGCCATGATGACAGTCATTGTGTATGTAAACAACAGTAAATTGGCAGAAATATTCTACGTGTGAACTGATCACATCAACACAAAAAACTAAGTCTGTAATTTGTACCAAGCATATAGAGTCCAGAGTCTTGGAAGGTTTAAAAAGATTCTTGAATTGATGCCTGGCTTTATACTCTGCTAGGAAGGTCCATAATATCACATATGGAGGCAATGTGTAACTTGTGAACTTAGACTTTCCTTCTCAACTTCAGCGGCAGGAAGACTGAAATGGTGAGGGTGTTCATATTAGCAAGTTTTACCTATATAAGAGCAGTAAGTGCTGTTTGCTTGAAGTCACTCATGCAATTATTAACACCATCCCTCCTCCAATGAACTACAGCAGTACAATGGACACTCAGAATACAGATTTTATCATTCTATGGTTCCATATATTTCCCAAAGATGACAGATATGTCTTACTTACACCAATAAAATCTGGATACTTTTACTACAGCCACCTTCTCGATGCAACTATGTTCTAGCTGCTTATGTCAGAACCAGAAATTCAAGACTGTGTGACTTGCTTACAAGCATGGAATTCTAAAGAACCAGTGTCAACTTGCTATGAAATTTATTCTACATTACAGACATTTTGTCATTCAAAACAATATATATATATAGACACACACACATTTCAGATTGTATAAACAACATATTTCAAAAGTTCACAGTTTTTATTATAGAATATACAATATTTTCTTTAGACCAGCAACCATATCATAATAAAAGTTAACAGTTTTTATTATAGAATATACAATACTTTCTTTAGACCAGCAACCATATCATAAATTGATATGTAATAATAATTTATATTGCTATAATCTTGATTCTTATCACATCTCACCACATCTAAAGTAGTGTGCACTGCTTTAACTGCATCACCATTTAGTTATAATCATTGTGGCACAACTGTCTATACAGCTGGGCTCATAAACTTCTTGCTGCATTTGCCTTTCTGTTCATGGTGTCAGACAGAGCTGGAAGTGATGTTGAAAGCCAAATTCTAGAACTTCAGCATTAGCTCAGTCTGATGTACAATTTACGAAGTTTTCACTAGATGGTATTTCTCTCTGTAGCTACTTAGTGACAAATTAGATGCCCTTGGCTTCAAAGACAAATAGTGAAAAACTATGTGCAAGGAAGTTTTTCCTGTATAACCATCACTTCAATGCTGATGGGGAAAACTTACCTGTTGGCTGGATGCAGGACCCTTTCAGTGTCATAATCTGCGTGATCCATGCTTGGATGCAAGCCACGTCAGCACAGCATGTCCGACACATGCCTCGGTAGTTGTATGAGGGTTACAGGTAGCATTTATCAATTTCTCTGTTCTAGATGCCTCGGCTGCCAGACGCCTGTGCTTCAAGGCTAGGAATTACTTCATACAGCACAGTTTTGTTGAAATACATTCTTCACATGTTCACTAAAGTAAATACTTTGAAATGAATATGTCACTAACCTACCATCAATCTTGCAGTCTACTTAGTGTCTACACTGTTTAGGACTCCAAGAACTATAACTTTGCCATCTCGTGTTGGCACTAAAAGATGAGTGTTCCCTGCAGTCACAACTATAGACTGAATTGGCACATGGAGTGGAATATCGTAGACTGGCTTCAACCTGTAGATGAATCAGATGTCAAAAGTCAAAGTAAGCAATGAAAAGACTACGGAAGGGTTAGTGCCACTTGACACAAACCTTCTCAGTAGACAAGAAATACTCCTGAAGTCCAACAGTTCACTTCTTACCCAAGAATCCTGCTCATGGTGAGATCTCCTGCATCATCAACCACCACCAAATGGTCTCCTGCTATGGTGAGCCCAGTGACTCGCCCAGACACATATTTTGATCCAAGGTTCACACCATTCACAGAGAACATGTGTACTGAGTGACTTGCCTGAAGAAAATAAATCAAATAGTCACACTGCAGAACAGAAAAGTTACACCAGGTTTTGAAAGTTCTCAGACAAGGGAAATAATTAGTCACTAAGCAAAATTAAAGGAAATGAAAATTAAAAAGTAGTAAACACGAAAGTAAGTAAAGTGAACATGTAATTCTTCTTTTCATGGCTTGCAAAGTACTACGAAATATAAAGAAATTTAACAAAAATCTAAAAATATACACAACATAAAATATCGATTTTGATAAATTATGTGATTCAATTCAGGGTATTTTTATTTAATATTTAGAAAAGCATATGTTCAAAAAAATGTTTTAAAAGATCTTCCTAAAACATCATCTTAACATAACACTTCATGCAACAAAATATTTACCTTACTAAACTACAATTGATATATGACATTTTATGCTAGGTGAGTATTGTGTAATGTGCAATATGTACACCCTTCTTCTTCTTCAACACGAAATGCCTCATTTCAGAATCTTCAGAATAAGGTTCATTATGATGAAAGAAGTATGGAGTTTAAATAGGTATGAAACAAATGTTGATTTCCATCATTTGACTAAATTTTATATTACTACTTCAGAAATGGTGTCAACATACACTGCTAATTTTTCTCAACAAGACTGTAATGTTAGTATCACTGTATTTTCTGTTTATCTAAATAAATTGCATAGCATGACAGAGGAGAGGGAAGATTTAATTTTAATTTTAATTTTTGTTACACTCATGAGAAACACCATGCAAGGACACAGTTGTTATTTACACATGAAAGGGTGAGATTCAAAGTTCTCACAGCAGTGAAGATGTCAATGTTGTTGTTCTGGGTTGTGATGCCACATATTAATGTAGGTAGATACCAGTATGTTACAGAATTCAGCCATGAAGATGAAGACAGTATGTTTCTCCATAACATTGGTATCTACCTACAAGCCCACACAATTTCACAACTCAGAACAGCGTTGGCATGAAAGGGATGTCTGTTCATAGGTTACAAAAACATGACCTGATATTGTACATTGTTTAATATATAGTCGACACTGCTATCCACCTGACACATTCTTGGAACCCATTCTAACACGACTATCACAAGGTGTGGAGCCTCTGTTGTACCTTGTCAGTGGCAGAGAAGGCCACATGTCCTTGTGAAGAAAGGGCAAGGAATGTAATCTCCATTCTCAATCCCTCACAGCCCAGTGGCTCCAGGGTGCGCACATACTGGCCCTCCTGTATTGTATGCACATTCACTGTGCCATCCTGTACAAAACAAGAAGTTGGAGCATTCCCCTTCCTCACACATAATTTAAGAAATTAATATGTTTCATACTTATTAAGCTTAAAACATAAGAACATAATATTTGCAGGAAATAAGCTATTGCACTGATGTCCAAATTCAGTCATGCACCTTCTGGTAAAGTGACAACTGACACATTCAAGTTCATTAACAGTGAAAATTTTAACTAATTAATTATTCAATGTTAATTAACATTCCTTCAACTCAGTCAAAAACTGTGAAGAAATGTTGTTTTAATTTATTTTAGTATTAGAAATTTAAAGCTGGAAGAAGTTGCTTAAACTCAGTAGGAGCCTCAGTGGTAGTGATTGGGTCTTATATTGTTTAACTAAGCTACTTAAATTGCATGAGATGGAAAGATGATAATGAATGTTGACTAGGTATGTATCTGGAAGGAAATGGAAGTAATGCAATTCGTGGCACTGATATTATTCTGGCATTGACCTCTAGTGATATGAAAACTCTTTAGCCTTTATCAACAAGCATTGCAAAAGTTATGAACTCATGTGAATACAAGCAGTTAATATTTCAGCTCAGCTTACCCGTGAACCTGAGACAGCCATGTCCAGCTCAGTCATGATGCCCACACAAGTGACTGCTTGGTCATGACCGTACAGTGTCTGGACAGGATGTGGAGTCATGTGAATGGCTGAACTGCTGCCTGTTCCCAGCTGATTCACATACCACACCACACAAGTTGTATCTCTGGAACCCGTAACAAGAAACGAACCACACTGGTCCAGGGCAACACAAGTCACCAGATCTGCCAACATTCACATCAACATATGCTGCATAACACAGTCAAGTACAATCATTACCTGATGCCACAGTATAGACTCCTTTCTTCATTCACCATCAACTTCTCTTATACCTCACCAATACAAAGATAAAGAATGACACAGTACAAACAAACAGAGATGCCAGTTTAAACTTAACACTATTACCCTGGACCTTGTGCTTGACAAGGCACATAGTAAATGCACAAAGGAGAGAGTGAAACACACCTAAATCAGGGTTGGAAGTAGAGTGTTCACTCTAAAGTACAAACTTTTGGGGTTCTACAGGCAGCATATTTAATAGAAACCTATGATTTATGCATTTCTGTGGGGGTAATGTGACTGAGGTGTGGAGCTAACCAGTCACTGCCACCTAATACGATGAATAAGAATGTATGGAGTTAAACCTCCACTCTGCCCTACCAACGGCATGGCATGGTGCTTAACAAAGCATAAAGGATTATATCCGGTATTCCGTTAACAAATGTAAACAACACAACATTTATTGGAAGGCCTATTTCCACAACAAAATCCTTAAAATGACAGCAATGAAATCATAGATTTTTAAGATGCAAGAAGTAGTCTCCATTTCCATATAGAATATACATACAGAAAACAGTACACTTGGGTCTAATGAAAACATGTGATTGTGATGTATGACTGTTAATCTCTGAGCTATAAAACTGGTCTTTAGAATGCTCAAAATAAGGCAACTGATGAAGATAGTGGATACAGGAAAACAATCCTGCTGGCTTAACTTTGTTCATAGTACAACTGGCACTTCCTTCAGTCTCTTCAAGTTAACTGAAACACGTCATAGTTGCAGCTTCCTCCTTGTCACTTACCGAAGTGTCTCCTGACAGACGCCACAGTCTTGCTTTTGGCAAGGCTGTACACTCGCAGGCTATTGTCCCAGTATCCACCACTGAACAGAAATTTGGCATCATGAGAGACAACAAATAAGTGATTGCTGAGTGGCAAGCTTGGGTGAAATGAACCAGACAGCTTTCTTCTTGTCCTGCAAGGCAATTCAGAGGTATTTAAAAATTGCTCACCATTTATGATGCAGCAGCCACAAACAGATGTTTTACCTCTATCATTACCAGTCTCCAAAGACCATATAATATTTAAATAAGATGATCTGAGAAAAAATTATAAGTGTACTTTGATTTATATGCTTCTCTGTGAACAGAAATGAAAAGTCCACATGGCATTACAACACAAGAGGCCAATATCGACATCTGCACCACCATGAGAATGTCCTGTCTCAAGAATCATATAAATAAGCAACCTATATATCTCTGTATATGGTTTTTGCTAGTTCTGTGAAGTTCCTACTATCTGACAGAAGCAGAACACAACCGCAAGACATTGTAAAATCACATTTCAAACAAATATTTATATTATTTGGGTTATAACTCCTGAGCAGTTTCTTACAATTGACTTCCTAATGGTTCCATACCCTGGTTAAGACAGGTTTCTTACAATTGTTATAACTTTCTAATGGTTCCATACCCTGGTTAAGACAGATAACATTAGGATTCAAACCAACAAGTGAAAATAATACTGATCCCAAATATCATATGATCAATTGAAACATCAAGAAATTAGTTTAGTGTCCAGTAGATATGACAAAGATACAAAAAATATCATATGATCCATTGAAACATCAAGAAATTAGTTTTGTGTCCAGTAGATATGACAAAGATACAAAAAGAAATCACAGCCCACTGGGGCACTAAAGACAGAAATAATTCATAATATAACAACAATTTATATAGGAATCTTTTTAAGTGCCAAGTCTGAGAGAGGAATAATAAGGAAATCATCTTGCAGCTGATGGTTAATTTCCAGTGGGTCTGCCACTTGGATGTGACACTTTCTGTAGTGTAACATACTTGGCATTGTTAATTGTGGGATCAACATCGAGGGTGAAGCCTTTGGTGCTGTATCGGTCATGTGGATGCCAGGAATGTGCCCCGACCACACCCAACTTCGATACACTCAGCAGTGTGTCTGCTAGGCCCACCTGAAGGAAGCTGCGTGGTGGGGAACGTGGGGCACTTATAAACACGATAGGGTCCTTTTCATTTGACACCTGGAATATAGAGATTGAAAGCTGTATAAACTGTGAACTCGCCATTAACAACACATTCTTGAAATAGCAGTTATCTTTTATTGGAACTTTTATCCATCTGTCTGCAACCATTTGACTGAGTGGATTTTGATGCCAGTCATAAAGATCTACACAAAAACTAAGTTACATTTATCAGTGTTGTCAATGGATGAAGATGAGAATTATGATAGGCCTCTTTCAATCTGTAAACCATTTGTCAGATTCTAATGAAATTAACTTACAATACAGGTAACTAATGACTGTTTTGAAAAAAATCACATACCAAAGAGGTTTGTTTGTTAGTCACCTAGTTACTTGACTGTTTGTGTGTCGGTTAATTATCAATTGGTCAATTAGTCAGTTATACATTTAATTAGTCAGTTATTTAGGTTGCAATTGTTTAAGATAAGAAGCCATTAAACTGGATAAAGTTATGTTCTGTTTTATAATTATGATCAGTGATGGCTGCTATGCATTACAAAATCTAACCTCAACAGAGACTGGATGCAGATTATCAAGGAACAGTGTGAAGTCTGCCTTCCTCAGCTCTGACTTGAGCATCTTAGTGACGGCGTCTTCAAGAGACAGGCGTTGGGGGTGAGGTTCTTTCAGCAGCTGACTGGGGGTTTGTCCAAAGTTGTTGATCATACCTTCCACTGCTTCCCGCTCCACAGGGTTTGAGATGGCATCCAGGTCTACTGCACCCTCATAGCTGCAGTAAGAATACCTCTCAGATTAGTACTGGGAACCAATAGAACAACTTCACATTCCATGCCATCAAAGTAAATAAATAATTAAAGAGTATAGGGTCTGCTTTGAGTGGGTGACAGATATTAAGTTGTAAGAAGTTTCTTTTACAGAACCCTTATTTCCCCCATGCATACTATATAGCCCACTAACCATATCTTCTTTTATGATATTATCCTAACAACTGTAAGTGAAGAGAAGAATGAATGTAAACATTTACTTGAACTACAAATTTATACTAATATTAACACATGTACGTAAAACATGGACCTTCAAAACAAATTGCTGTCACGGCAAATTTAGTGATTCCAAAAAACTGGGAACTGCAGATTCAAATAATTTAAATTTGTTTGTAATGTACTCTCTAAAAAAGCAAATTTAGTGATTCCAAAAAATTGGGAACTGCAGATTCAAATAATTACAATTTGTTTGTAATGTACTCTCTAAAAATAATGTTTATGAATAAAAATTAGCAATTACTGATCTGAATCAGCTCTTACTTGGGCAACAATTACATCATAAGAAATTTTCTGATGTGCATCAGAGGCCATCAAGACAAGTACAGTTATGTGGAAAAGAGGGAGCCCTCTTAACAAAATTATCATTAAAATATTACTTTCTGAAGAGGGAGCCCACTTACCAAAATTATCATTAAAATATTACTTTCTGTCATTACATGCCATCTACTGCCGTGATAGGAGAACCAAACCAAACAAAATTTTTGCTCAATAAAATGGAACAAAGTGGAAAGCATTATTAAAAAAAAATTAACAAAAGAGTACTGTGAGTGGCAACATGCCATAAAAAATTTCTGATTCTGGCAGTATAAACACCACTTTGTTGATCAGAATTTTCCAACCACAAAGACCAATGTCTTTAAAAAGAATACGTTACCTGCAGTAATAAAACACATTGAGGGCTTCAACTGCTTTTGGTCCTTTTTGCTTGTAGCCAAAGATCAAGTCAATCCAGTCATGCAGATGCTGAGACACATACTCACACTCCTGCAAGATGAGACCAGTCATATAATACACAGTTACATAGGATTACAATATGTCCCACTACAGAATGCTTCACTTACGAGAGCTTTCCTGTGCTTGTAAATGAAGTCTTCTGGACTGCTGGCCCACTTTGGCAGTATCACATCATTCACTCGTTCCTTTGTTCCCTGGAGAAGTCCCAAGTCAAAGCTGCAAACACCACACACTTATAGGGTTCATATTTGGCACTCAAAAACAAATTATTAGAGACATCTGTCACACAAATTCATAATCATCATGATGCTCAGGGATAGAGATGACTTTGTATTTTATGTGACAACTAAAGGCAGAATGACAAGAATTGTGAAACCTTCTAGTGGTCATTTCAGTTGTATTAAATCTTTCCCTGCTGAATATACTTACAGCATACTGACACCTGCACACTGAATTAATTACAAAACCTAAAAAAATAATTACAAAACAAGTTAATTCTGATAAAACTGTTATCTTCTGGTTTGTAACAGTGTGCACTCTGGTAGAAGTTTAAAAATGTTTCAGAGGTCCTAGCTGCCTCCACCATCAGGATGATGTTGGTAAACTTCTACCAGACTACACAGTGCTACAAACTCAGAAGACAGCCACTTTCAAATCACATTAACTTTCCAACAGAAGAATGTCTCAGTGACCAAAAACATTTCCCAATAAAAGTTCAGTGCATGTATCTTATTTCCCACATCTGAGCTATATTCCCAGTCAAAAATAACTCTGACTCAAGTAATAATAAGTAATAATATTAATAAATACACACCACAGATCCATGGAATGTATATTAATATGTATATAAGCACTTTACTGTACTCCAAGAAGCGTTTATTCTAAATAAGCAGATACTCAAAGGAATTGTACCCATTCATATTCTTCAGAAACTCTGGGAAATAGAAGAACTCTGGTGTCAGCTCCTTTACATCATTTGGATTATCCATTAGCAGTTTCCATGTCTGGGGAATTGAGTGAAACTGTCTGTCTGCAACATCAAACCTGCACAAAACATAGAATGTGACTTAGACATGTTCTTTCTGAAACAAGCTGCAGAACAATGACTTGTTACATGTTTAGTGGTGTAACATAATTCTCTCATATGGGAAGGAAATAGGCTTAATTTGCAGAATCAGGATAACAGTCTGTCTTTAACATTATCCACCCTACTAATGGTTCACATTTCTCACCCTGGGCAGAACACTTCTCAAGAAGTTTCACATGCTCCTGATACAGACTTTTTTCTTACTTTTATTAGTATCATTAACAAACTCCAAGATGCATGACCCTTGAATAATTCATTATTATTCAGTATTTAATGATACTCTTTTAAATGAGCACATTATGTATTCAAACACAGTAAAACAGCCAGTGTCATGTTGTCATTACTTTAAATTAGCAATTTCTCTTAAAGTTCCAAATTAAATTCCATTTCAAGTTCAAATCAAACTCAAACAACTTGGAAAATATCTCAAAACTTGTTTATTACATGAATTCATCCAGTAATATGACATTGCATTAAACATCCCACTAGAAGTAAATACACCACGACAGGAACATGAAATGCATATGGAGATTCCAAGCACATGCAGTATGTCTGTAACAATAATAAAGTAATAGCTGCTAAATATTCTAATATGGTTTATTGGTATTAGTAGTATTCACCCTGCTCATACCTGCCACTCTGGAGCTCGATGTGGAGAGACGTGAAAGGCTCAACCCTCACCAGATAATGCAGCACTCCTGCTGAGTTTGAGTAATGCGTGCCATAGTGAAACTTGGCTACCGTGCCTATGGTAATCACCCATAAAACAAACACTGCATAAGAAACATGATTGTTTATTCATTTCTGTTGGCAATTCCCAAATGTATGTATATTACTAAATTAATATGGATATGAAATAAAACGTTGGTTGTAAAAGACTAAGGTCTGTTAATAGACTTAGTTGAAAATTCCTACCTGATGGGTCCTCAAAGCTGTCATACTTTGCCTTCACCTCTGGAACATTCTTGGGGTTAACAACACCAATGGGCTTTGAGAGATCTCTGAAGGTGGAGGGACTTGTTAGGTCAAGTTCTTCAGAGGTGTAGTCAGCTATAATCCATGGAAATACCGGGTACTGGGACAAGTCATTGTATGTCCGGCCTGCCAATGTGTTTAGCTGAAAATCACATAGAGAAATCAGTACCCAAACTAGCTGCTTCTCTTGCAAATCGATTTCACATATTCATATATACATATAAGACAGCAAAATAACAGGGAGGTCTTATTTAAAACTTATACAAAACAATAGGTAAAATTACAGTTTTATATCTTAATCTCTTGGTTTTTACAAACAAGAAGATAAAATGTTCTGAATGGAAAACTAACATGTATTCCCCCAGATATAATATTCTCTTAACCGTGATGGTCTGGACGGAACACAAATGTCAAAACCCGCAGAAGACTGGTTGTTCAGCCACTTACCTGCATGAGATAATCGAAGTTAGAAATCTCCCTGTTGACCCACTTCTGTGTGAGCCCAGTAGACTTTAGAAGGTCTGCTGGAGTGCGACTGCTGTAATGGCAAAGATTTGGTGGTCTGAGACTAAGAATCCTGGTGAAGACCTTGTTACGTGTCTGAAACAATATACAACACACTGTGACATCTGATGCAAATGTTGGTGTTTCAGACTGCCTCAACATTGTGTTCCCATACCTTTGTAGAGAAGTTGAGGAAGTAGTTTGTCTGATCCGTTAAGAAGAACTCCAGTGCACTTCTTCTGAGGTTGTACCTTCTTAGGTGTACTTCTCGCAGCTGCGACAAAGCAAACTGCACAAACAATGATATTACGGTCACAATACTGAGTTTTTGTGTAGATGATATTCTGGCTCATTTATTTGTAAGTGTGACTTACAATTTTCCCATTAGTGAGTTTAAACAGTAACAAAGTAAAAGATACAATTTTTATAGTTCTATTCTCATTATTAAATAATTAATTATGGGAGAAATTTTACAGTACAGTGGCCACTCCCATTTACAGATTTGTGGTTTAGTTACACAGTGATTCAGTGGTTATAAGATTCAAACCAAATACAAATAAGGTACACATTAGGGCCTCACATTAATGCCCTTTATAATTATTTTAAATCCCTTAATTGTTATCTTATTGCTTTACAATAGAATAACAAAGAAACTGCATAACTCAAGTACAGCTTTGTTAATTATTACTTGTTCAATCATCAGATTTCCAAGTCATATTCATCACTTTCAAAAAATAATATTTCTGTTTACACTGTTCTTTCTGTTAAAATTATTATTTCCAATTTTCATGCATCCTCTGAACCTTAAAACAGTTTAAGGACCCAGTATCTTATTCTTGCTCTGTTATATTCAATGGAAAGTTACAGACAGGGAATTCTAAAATATATGTTTCCTGCAATTTTAGAGGACAGTAATCATGATATGTAAATGTGAGTATATCTGATGTATAGTGAACTAATTATAATAGAGTGACAATGCATAACAAACCTAAAAGAAGCTCTGAAACATGGAAAGTAGCAGCCAACTACTCATACCTTGAAGTTCTGGCGCTCTACATCCTCCTTGACAGGGCTGAGATCATAGAAGCAGAAATGACTTGTTGTGAGGTCCAGCCGGCCATGCACCACACTCATCAGAGTCACAAGTTTGCACTCCTGTTGGATAATCAGCTTCTCCTTTCCCAAAGTCTCAGATCCCTTGAGCCTGACACAATACCAGACTACTTACCAATGTGTTGCTTGGAAAAGCAATGCATTGTTTGAAATTAGGGCTCTAAGAGAACTCTGGTGTCTTATGAAAAGACATACAGGCCTACATATATAATGTAAAATTCATCATCAAATCCGATGGCTTTCAGTTAATACTACGTAGCCCACATGTGAAGCACCATCATTATGTGTACAGGTGTTATATGTCAGTACAGAATGTATGCATACAAAATAGGACATATAAATAATTTGTTATTTCATATAATATTTCATGTTTAAAACAGTAAATAATACTGAAATTTGTACTATATTACAATTCCCATTAACATAAAATAATACAAAAGCAAGTTATAGGCAAAAGCGCATCATGAAAATTATGGTATTCATGGATTTTTAAATTATGTTTCTGTGATTAATAATTTGTATTCACTTGCTGCCCAAATGATTATTCAGCACTTCCATCCTTGTACAATGTTGGTACTATTTCAACTGACAGTCAACACAAAAACTACTTCTGATAATAAATGTCCTCTATTGACCAATATAAAATGGAAATAATGCTAGAAAAATTAGAACAGAATAAATTTCCTGTTCACAGTCACAATGCAGAGCATCTGTGTCTGCATATGGTATGACGCTCGTGTTACAGTGCAATTGGCTGTCATCTGCTACAACAAATTTCATTACATCTCCTATAACACATACCAGACAAAAATACAGCAGATTTAGATATCTTTTTAAAGCAATAATTCAAAGCCATCCCAACATACAGTGCTGTTCTTCATCAAATCATCATGATTTGCATTAAAACTGTTGTATCTTCTATTTATCAACTGTGCAAGAAATTTTTATTTCAATTGACAAATTTTTCTTCCTAATCTGTCAAAACACTCACTCAGCCTCTGACACCATCCTTAGCTCCTCCTCAGGAAGGAAGTCCTCTTCGGTCTCCCTGCGGACCGCCGCCGATGAGATACTGAAGGACAAAGGAATCTCCTCAGCCGACTGCACACGGCTGAGCCATCCTGTGACAGACATGCAGTCACTGAAACATTCTCTGAAAAAAGTACTTAAAATTTTCTAGTTTAAGGAGTCAGTTAATTATAATATTATATCCTGTTTAGTAAGGTATAATGATTCCTTTAACAGCAAAATAAGATTTTCATTATAATATCTTTCCTATTAATCTGCACAAGAAAATACATGCAGCCTGACTCTAAATGTAAATACAAGTTAAGGAAACCAATTTATAGTAACAACATAATCCCAAAAAGAGTAGACTGTGATATTTATGGTGCCTACACGAGTCTACAACATGCCTTCCTGACTGGGATATTGTAGCAAAGACTGAACAATTTACTATAACTAACTAATCTAGTAACTGGCATCATGATTCAATGCTTTTTTAAGCAAAGGAATGTACATAAAAGCTCACATTTTAGTATACAAGTGACAGAAGAATATCTGTGGGCTGATAATAATGCATTACCATCCAGATGTGAATAAAATTATGTTCAGTAAAATACAAGTTACAACACAGCAAGCAAATATTCCAGTTACCTTGTGTTCTCAAGGTATGGACACTGCAGTGCAAAGGCAGGTTCTGTTTTTGAGTTGTTCACGGGAAAATTAATGATTCTGCGTGGACACTGCAATGCAAAGGCAGGTTCTGTTTTTGATTTGTTCACGGGAAAATTAATGATTCTGCAACAGCTTCAGAGGTTGTAAAAGGAATGAAAAGGAAGTGGCTGAGACTGATCTCAAGGTGTTATCTTGGAATATGGTCATATTGTCAGAACTAAGGACACTTCAGTCAGGATTGATGTAAACCAAGCGGAGATACGAACTTGTCATTTCCCGCTGTCATTTGATATGTTCAGTTTAATGAAAAAAAATTGTCTGAAATTGCCTCGATCCTTAGTCTCCTTCACCGTGCCAAAATATGTTTGTGCTACATGAATTCTGGTCTTCCAAGTTCTAACACCATGTGGAATTGTAGGTAAATACAAATGTTTTGAAAAAAAACATGCTGTCTTCATCTTCAGTGCAGGTATCTACCTACTTATGCACATGGCATTACAACCAAGAAGACCAACACTGACATCTTCACTGCTGTAAGAAACTAAATCTCATACGTTTGTGCTAGATGCAGAGTAAACTGGTGTGGTATACGTACCGACGCTGTTTCGTTTTATGTTGGCTGCGTTCACGGGAAGGAAAGAGAAAGCATTAGACAGACAAGAATACCAGAGTGCAAGCACGCATACAGAGCAGGGGTCAGAAATCTTTATCTGCATGTACAACCAAGTGATAAATGACAGGATTCTGGCACCCACTCCTGGAACAGGCCACTCAGTGTAAACACTTCACTGTTTGTGCATCAGTAAACTGCTGAATTATGCTAAAAAGTGTTATTTAAAACAAATATGAACAGTTAAAGAAAAGACACTAAAATCCAATGCAACTGGAAACAATGAGATCGTGAATTTTTTTTAAGGCTTGAGAATGCAAAGGAATTTTGAAAGCCGCCAAGTTCTTACACTGCTCGCCACGTGTCTGTAATGCATATATTGAAAGTGAATATTTACCAAATGTAGTGCATAGCTAAATATTTTGGGCTAAGAATATGTATGGGTGTTTCATATTCTTTCTCAGGTACACGGATATCCAAAAACTGAACATAACACCTTGAACTGCGTAACATTCTGTTAAGATGAGTCAACCAGTAAATCTTCCAGGCCATCAGGTGGTCCTTGTTCCACACAATCATTCCTCTTCAACAATGTTGTCCTACATTTTTCAGGTTTGACCAGTCTTATGAATAACTTGAAAGTTTCTTAAGCCTTATCTATTTAACTGGAAACATGAAGCAGGATTTTAACCTGAAATCTCACGAGCTGCTTGGCCAAAGACTGCAGCTACCAGTTTGACTTATTCAACATAAATATATGGCATAAGGTGGGAAAAAATTGGAACCAGCTGAAAAAGTACCCAGAAAAGAGGTTATTCTTTCTTACGACACATCAACGTGTAGTCAGGACGTAACTAGTCATACAGTTCAGTGTTTTAGTATTATTAAGACAATGACTGGTGCTTACTTTTGGTAAATGATGGTGTAATTATATTTAGCCCACATACATTGCAAATGCAGTACAGCGACCATATTGGTTAAGAATGGTGGCTCATGAAATGGCAAATGTATGTTTTCCATTCAATGACACCTTATTCGTATGCACTCCACAGGCTCACCTGTGTTGTCTCTGAGGTTACTCGCATCAGTATGCTGGTCAAAGTTCAGGTTGGGGCACAGTTTCAGCCTCATGCGGGAGAAATTCTCATGGTGAGACAGCTTCCAATGGTTCGATATCGGCGATCTGGAACACAAGAGGACACAGCTTCACATACACGTGGAATTCTGTGATATCAGAAGGCCTGACAGCAACAGCTGACTAAGCAACACTTTGATTCCGCTCTTTACGATCCTGTCAGACACAAATTTAGAAATAACAAACCACCGTGGCTTACCACGCCCCCCCCCAAAAAAGATTGTATGATTGCGTAATTATTACAGAGATTACAACTTTGTGGGTAGCCCACTGTTGCTCCCGAGACTCTAACTGGAAAGGTTACACAGCGTCTAATGTCCAGATGACTGTGAATTCGGTCTTAGGATCGAGACTCTAATCGTAGCGCTATCCAATACGACAACGCTGTCGGTGGAGAGTTTACGAACGAACTGTCAGTTGGGAAAGAATCCGTCTTGCTACATTTGTCTGAGAAGACTGAAGAAAACCACGAAACAGCAATCAGAACGGGTGATACATCAAGTTGAGGTCGGAGCGGGAAACTTTCAGACATTTCGGTGATACAAAATTTTCCGAACAAGTGTTATATACTTTACATAACATAATATATTTTAAATAGCAACACTATACCAGTTTCTCTCGGAGCGTACGCGACTAGCTTCGTCCTGAAGTTAGTGGTAATATGCTCCTCCGAAACGTTGGTACCCACTTACAAGTCCACATGGCGTTCAACACAGAAGGCCAACACAGACCTCAAATCTTATATGACTTAATTCTCTCGACTGTAATACACGATTATCAAATCGTCGAGTTAATAATCCTACTGTTACTACTACTATACCACATTCATGACGTACTTTTCTTCTCGTCCGAATAACTAATTTTTCATAAAATATGGTTTCCCCTCAAGATAAAAAACATTTTGTTTGTCACGTTAACTCACGTCACAACCAGCAGACAAATGATATTTTGTTTGTCATGTTCACTCACGTCACAACCAGCAGACAAATGACAATTGAATTCTAAAATCAAACAATGTAGGTGCTGTATTCTACTCACAAGCGGTGGATGCGAATTGCACGCTAATACACGGGCGTGACGCTGAATTAAATAACACGCTGGGATCGGGTTATAACAAAAGAATAATAACAGTGTGAATTTATATAAACATACGTTACGATAGCCTTCGGTGTTAAACGCGGCCAAGTTGCTGTGTTATATCAACTGCTTTGTAGGCTGGCCCCCTACTTTCCAACTCGACTGGCAAACTGTTGCATAATCACATCGCCTTTATTATAGTACCACTAATATTATAATAAAGGTGGGCCACCGATACTGTACCAGACAAGGAAATTATCAAATATGCCACATTTGATTTATTCCTTCTGTTTGATTTATATGCACTCTGGTACATTGTTCCAGGTTGAGGTTAGGTACAAAATTTTCCATCACACAAATCTTTCTGTTCTTTATTTCATGTTATTTCCTGATCAGTAATCATGTCTCTAATTAAAAAAATATTGGGCCTAACGTCGACGGTTGTGACAGACACTTGAGATTTGGGACACATCTTCTCTGGAGTTATTTTATTTTCTATTCCTTCCGCACCCAAGCCTCAACACCCTTTCTCACCCATCCCTGCCACCGTATCCGTCTTAATAGCAGCACAGTACTCTGTAAAACAGCCTTTTGTAATAAAAAAATCACCCAAAATATGTGATTACATAAAATATCGTGCTTCGTTAAGTTTTCCCCGAGGTCCGCGCCCATTTAAGAATCTCTATGAGCGCAAACACAAACTAACTGGCCTTTATATGTATAAGACAGACGTCAGTTGCTTCTTTTGAGAATTGCGTGCATGTTCGTAAAGCCAATTCTCTTTATCCAGTAAGAAAATATTTGTAATTTTTTATATTTATTACTCGATTCTGTGTGGTGACCACGTGATATTCTGTTTCTGCATAAATGTTACATTTCGATACCATTATTGGAGGCTGATGGAGTGAAAGCTGGTAGGAGTGCCTGCCACGTTTCTATCTAACCTTAAAAAGTCGGATTTGTGTTCTCTGTTGTTCAGTAGGCAAGGAAGGAGTGGCCGTTGTATCTAGCTTTAACAGCATTTTGTGCAGTTTACTGGAGCCTGCCCTTCCGATCAAATATCCACGTAGGTTTCCTGCTTTCTCTCTATTTCCTTGGGATAATGAGCCTTGCAGCGAATTCTGTGCTAATATATTTACATTTGGCTGTTCATTTAGCATGTTAGGACCCTCCCACTCCTGGTTTCTGCGCTTGGTCTATGAAGTACATAGCACGCGACGACTCTGATTAAAGCTTCTAACTTAAAGGTAATATTTTATTCTCAGTCACTACTGGCAGCTTGGGATGACAGTGACATTGAGCTTATCTATATTTTTTTAGAGTACGGACTTGGGATGACAGTGACATTGGGCTTATCTATATTTTTTTAGAGTACGGAACGATGATGCACCAACTGCAAAAGAGGGACCAGAAAGGAAGGGGCTAATCGCCTAGAGGAACTGAGGAAAAGTACGTGAACTGTTAGAGGAGACAGCCAGTGAGTGATGGAAGACGGGAACCATTAACAATTCAAGCTGTGACAGTGATTACTGTTTTATTTAAACACAGAAGACAGAGATAACGTATAAAAATCAACAAAACGAGAGAGCCTTCAGCAAACAGTAGCCAGTTGGCTTGGGCGTGGGAGTCGCTTGTGGTGATCCTGGTTCCTTTTGGCGACAAGTACAGCGCTGCAATGTAATTCTGCCGACTCTGGTGGCCGTGTACACGCCAGGGCTGCGTGCGTTTCCATTGCCACAGTCCAAACCGTGAGATATATTATAACTTTGCCTTAGATCCCGCAAAGTGATCTCCACAACTGAGCAAACGAGAGATAACGAAAAACGCAAGGACCAAAAAACTGTTCTTTGCTCAACGCGAGTACCCTGTACTTACGGGAGAAGTCTGAAGTATAGTTCTTTAAAACCCGGATTGTTTTTAATTAAATAAGATTAATCTGATAAACACAGGCCAATATAAAGTTTATAATTATCAGGAGTCAGAGGTATTTCGGCGACGGCTGAGCGTGTACGCGGGAAGTCAGTCGGCACATAAACCAACCATCCCTTGTTTTAAAAATGCAGACGCAGAGAATGAAAAGAGTACACATTTGGTAACGACCATCAGCATGCAGGCTTGTATGATGAAAAATAACACAATTCCGCCATGTTGACACAAAATACTTAAATTAGATGCTCCAGGGCGTTAAAGAAACAGACTGCCATCAGTTGAACATACGGCGCTGACCTTCGCAGCGAGCGATACTTTGCCTCCGGACAGACCAGGACACACCGGGGCAGGATCTACACGGCATAAGCAGATATAGGGGCAGCCTTCAACAGTGGGGCGGCGGGAAACGCTTTGACGACCGGCACGTCCCGCTGCACGACGGCATTGAAGCCGTTCACCGGGTCTGCGTAGTAGTTGACCGTCCGACGGACGCCGTCTGGCTCGATAAGACTGTAGCTGCCCTTCACGACGCCGCCGTCTCGGGTCTCCTCCTGCGCCTTCGAGTCTCCGGTCAGGGCGTCCTGCACTGTGTACGCGAACTGGTACTGGGGGTAGGCATCGGCGTAGTCCAACTTGGTGACGGCCACTGGCGCGGCGACGGGGGCGGTAAAGGGGGCGGGGAAAGCAGCGTAAGCTGCGGGGGCAGGGAAGGCGGCTAGAGGAGCTGCTGGCACGACACCAGCCCTCGCTGAAACCAGCGTCATCCCGAGAACAACCACCTTGAAGGCAAAGCCACAAGAAGGATCAAGAACAGACACTCCCTCTCGTTAAAAACAGCGATAACGTTTCAAATTAGCATTTTTTTTGTATCCCAGAACCATACATTAAATCTATTTAGCTTTCTACGGCAGCAAATTATATTCTGAATGTCCAATTTTTAAAATATTTTCGGATACATGCAATGACTTGGATAGAAGAACGGCTAGAATACTGTTTGCCACTGTCAAAACTACAAATAACGGAAGAGATTTTTGAAGTAATTGCAGCCTAGTGACACAAAACAACTCAGACGCACCGAACACACTTCAAAAACTAAGATAGTCCAAAACGATTCACGTTCATGACTTAAGTAATGTAATTTCACCCAAACATGAAATGAAACATTCCGTAGATTTCTTGTGGCGTTGAGACACTAGAAGTAGTTTTGGGCGCGTTCGCACAAATTTGCGCAGGACGTCCATGTATTAGCCCGCATAAAACACCTCGGATGTTGACAGATATCGAAATTTGGAACAAGACGTGTGCCATACGGATAATCACCGAAACAATTCATCTTAAGCTTAATCCACAACTTTTGTTAACAAATTAATATGATAAGTTGACGAGCAAACTTTATTCTGAGTCACGTACGTTCATCAGTGTTGTCAAAAAGCTAATATTTCCGCACTATTTATCTGCCAGTGATGGAATTCGGTGTACATAACAGACACAGGAAGGAGGTCGCTGTCAACACACGAGGCACTGCACCGTACTTACTCGCAGAAGATCCATGACGAAGAGTTGAGTGATGAGCCCGAAGAAAGTGCAATGAAAGTGAAGCCCGGACGGAGCTTTTATACCGCGGCAGGACACACGATCTCTCGGGCGACCTGAAAAGTCCTGCGTGATGAAACAGACTTATGCATGCGTCGCACAGCTGTCTCTTGTGTCACTCACCGGTAACTATGCGCACCAGCTCAGAAACCTCATGCACAGAGTGTACAGATTTTCCAGGACAAACAGAGA